ACTAATAGTTTGGAAACCACTTCGTCCTTCTCATGTGATACAAATACACCATCTTGTGTCTTCCAAATACAAAACATAGATGTTCACCAAATATTTCTGCATCAGTAGTAACAATTTCAGCATCTGCATCAAGCAGTGGTCCATCCTCATCCTGCTCTTTTGGAAAGCGTGGAATATGATGTTTCCAAGAAGACATGGCTACCCTTAGCTATACTGATCCAGCACTGCAGGTGTCAACCTGGCTGAGGTTTAACTCTTGAGAATTCAAAGAGCTGCATAGAGACTTACAAAATCCTCAAGTACATAGGTTGGTTAACTATGCCTGGGGTCATGTTACAATGCAATTCTCCTCCATCTCTGTTAGAGAACGTGGTTTGGCTGACTTTCATGCAAACTACAATATGCCAGGACACGGCTGGATTCAGATACAGTTTGCTGCAGCAGACACCACATCAGTCCATGCTAGCTACAGGCAGTGTTGCCAATTTTTGCAGTGACAATAAAGAACATTATGTCACTATCTGCAAAATCCATACACTGAGAAATCAATCTGTGCACCAGTAACTGCAGTTACCACCACATCAAAGCATCTTTCCTGACAAATGTGTACTTGGAGTTCTGACATATATGTGTTACAACAGTTCAAGCTTCCCCAGATAGCTTGTGCATGAAACGTGGTCTTTAGGTTTACATTCATGTCCACAATGATCAGGATGAAAATACACAGGAAACAGTTGCTGCTAGAGCAGTTTCAGCTCTGATCTGGAAGCAGCCTCAAAGAAAGGCTAAATGAGCAGCAAACAATGGTGCATATTAAATACAAGGGTTACATTGACATGCACCTATGCGATTTCAGCACACCAGAGCACTTGATCTGAACTCAAGATAACCATCTTTTTCTTTTGGGGCATGTAATTCAAAGAATTCTATTGCAACAGCTGGAGTTTTGGGTATTTAAGGTACATTCCAGCAACACTGCCAACAAGGCAGCAGAACGAAAAATGAAAGAAAAGAAATTATTGGACAGAGCAGCCTTCCCTGCTTCCCACTGGCAGTATCTCAGGCACAACATGCTCAGCGTGTCTGCTACAGGACACGTCTTCATTCCAGGAGACTGGGCCTCTAGATTTTGTTTGATTTTGGCTGCAGTTCATCAGCAGGCAGGTGTGCATCTGCTGGTGACCTTGTTACCTTCCTTTCCCCTGGTTCTCCTGAGTGAAGGAGAAAACTGGAACTGCATGAAGGAGTTTGCTCAAATATGCCAGTGTAGACCAGAGACATCCAGGGGTAAAAATATCTCGCCTGTAAGTTATAGAATATGACAACAATGAAGGATTTGTTCACTATTTAATACCTAGCAGTTCTGTGCCCACTGGCAGGGCAGGACAGGAATGCAGTTAAACTTTAATTCATACCTGGACACCACTGCACACAGATTGGCAAAGCCAGGCATGCCATTTATCTATCTGCTGCTGAAATATTCTACAGTGCCATGCATCTCTTCACTCAACACTGTTCTTATTAAGTTATTGTCCACCTGCCAATGTGCTAAACAAGGGAAACACACTGCTTCCCACAGCATATGTCCAGCACTGCCTCAAGAGCCTCACGGGCTGAGCTGCCCATGAAGGGACTGTCCACCCCATTGGTCACCTTGCAGAAGAGCTTTAAATGACATCTAAGCTCTCTTTCTGGATTTGCTGAGTACGACAGGCTTCAAGAAAAGATACATCACCAAACGACAAGCTAGATGAGACAAGCCCGTGGCAGAATGGTGGAAATAAAGCTGGGGCTTCTCTTCCTGTCTTTGCCTTATTTTCAGGTTTTGGGATAGCACTGGCAACAGGACTGTCTGCTCCCTTTATCAGAATGAGGATCCCCCTTCACGCCTTCTTTCCAGTTTCCTTATTCATAGAGCAACAGCCACAGTCCAGCCTTGTAGAGACCCCAGAAATGAGTGACTCAGGTTTATAGTGTTGTTTTAACTTGAACTGCCCTGACATAGGGGATATTACACCTATCACTTCATATAAGTGTCTGATCTTCCCTCAGGCTCATAAGAAGCAACACGTGAATACTTACACTGATTTTAAATCCTTCTATGTAAGCTCAGCTTCTGTGCTTAATGCAGTTCTCTCCCATTTCCCACAAAAGAAGAGATTTTCTTTATCTACAGTGTCTTTGGACTTGTGAGGTGGTGTAGGTTGAGAATACCCACATTGTGCTGTTATCATATGTTCTGTAGCTGGATTTCCCTGACCTTTTGAAAGCCTTTCCAAACATTCTTGAACCACAACAACTACTGGTAAACCACAGGAGTATTCATGTTATGTATCTCAATGGGGCTTTGTTAAAACTGGAAAGAGATGCTGCTGTATCCATGCTTACACAAAGTCTGTAAGAGGCACAACATGCTTCCTTGTGCCAAGGCTAAGCTATCAGTAGTCCTGGGAACTTGAATCAGGCATGAACCATAACTGCCTTCTAACCTGTAAGGCAAATATTTAACAAGAGGAACACACACATCCCTTTTACCCCCTTTCTGTATATAATAAGCCCTCATTTCCAGTGTTAGTATATAAAGGAAACAATTACAAAAAACACTGATGCAATGTGCATCACACAAGAGGCTTCTTTCTGCTTGCCTGACATATTATTTGATGTTTGCTTTGGCTGATTTTTGTTATACTGTGATTTCTGATATTCCAAGGCATGTTAGTATGAGATTTCACTGCAGTAGTGGTCTATAGCGTGTTGGTGAGAGATTATTAGGCTTGCTTGAATAGCTTGAATAAGCTGGTGGCATGGTTGTTTCAGGCAACTTCAACAACTGGGATGGATGCCTAAACTTCAGAGGTGTGTTAGAAACAGAGAAACAAGCCGTTTTCTGATTATCACAACCTTTGTCTGTAACTTTAGTTTAAGCCTGTAATATCTGTGACCCAGTCTTCCTATCAGTAAAACAGTGCATTACTCAGCCTGTAAGCACCTCCGAAGCACTTCAAGCATTTTATGACTGAGGGCACTACACAGATGTACAGTAAACTGAGATCCCATGGTGAGTCAGGGAGGCATGGCAGAGAGGAGTTCAGGGCAAAGCACACTGCTGGCTGTGGCTAACGAACTGCAAAGCCAGGCTGTGCAGTAGTCCATGCTCCCTTCTGGCACATGACAAGGAGTACGTATGCTGCACCTTCTTAGCCCTCTTCCCCTCTTTTGAGCATCTCTCCCCATTAAAAAATGAGAAGAAAAACTTTGTTATTCATAGCAACTTCTTCTTAAACCAGATATTAGGGGTTATTTCACTACTAAAACATACAGACACTTCATAAGACTTCAAAAGACTAATCCTTATTGCTAAAAATTCACTTGCATTTTTCTGTACTGCCATGAGTCATAAAGTGGACCTTCAAGCTTTTGAACTCTCTTTCAGTCTGCCGTTTCATTCTGGCTCTCTCCTCCTCCCACCAAGAAAGAATGCAAATAAAATCATTTTGGAAGGTCTGAGGCTTTAGGAAAGTCCCCCCTTTAGCAAAGTTCTGATCAAACTGATACTGAACATCCATCAAGTACATCACAGAGTATGGTGCATTTGTTGCTCCTTCCTTACCCTCTCACAGACATGTTCATACAAGTTTCTACCAAAGGAAAACGTATTTCCATTAACCCTTTGCCAGGAGTTTTACCGTTTATTGTTGTCTCTTGTGACTGGCACAAAGCACGTGTAATGATCTTATGCTATGAGAGAACGTTAACATCCTCACTGCCCTGTGTGCTTGCATGCCCTGTCAGGCTTCCAAGGAATCCGTCTTCCTCCCACAGGCAGTGCATGGCACAGGCAATGGGCCTCACACACAGTGTTTGCAAAATATCCCCAAGCCACATGGCTAAAACTGCAGCTCTTCTCCTGCCGCTTCCCGGAAAGATGCCCGACCTCCAGGCAGAGGCTGCCACTGCAGGACGTCCCCATCCATAGCCCCGTAGGCTCGCTACTTTACTCCCAGGGGCATCACGCTGCTCATTGCGGCCAAGCGCTGGGGCCATAAACATCATTCGGCTTTAGCCTCTCCAGGCGGGACTAGCGGCTCACGCAGCCCCGGGAGCCACCCGAGCAGCGGAGCCAAAGCAGGAGTAGAAGGGTTAGAAGGTGCTGGGAGGACAGGAAATGTAAGGGGCATAAGAGGGTGCCGGGACACCTGAGGGCAGATGCGCGGGCAGAAGCGCCGCTGCCAGACTCCATTCCTGCCCAGCGCTCCCCTGCGCGGGATCCCTCTGGGCCATGCCCTCCTCCTCTCCCTTATGAGAAAACGAGACCACGCACCCCACGGTAACACCAGCACCCCAAAAAGGGGACATACACCCGGACACACACACCTACACCCTCCGCCACTCCCCAGCGCCGGGACAGGGAGCCGGGTGCGAGGGAACGGGTGTCCCGGCGCCGCGACCGCTGTCCATCCCGCCCGGTTACCTGGATGGCTTGCCCGAGGGGGGCGGCGGCCGGCCCCCCCACCAGCTTGCAGTACAGCTCCGAGCGGCCGCCTCCCGCCGCCTCCCCGCAGGTGGCCGTCGCCCAGATGCTGGCTGCGGCGGCCAGGTTGAAGTACGGCGGGTGGAGGCTGCGCCCTGTCCCGCGGGAGCCGGGGGGCTCCGGCTGCGCGGGGCAGAGGGCGAGGAGCTGCGGGAGGAGCGCCCAGAGAAGCGGGGAGCCCGGCGGCGCGGCCATCCTGCGCCGGGCGCTGCCCCACCGCCCCGGGGCGGCCCGACAGCGGCGGTGGGCGGGCGGGCGGGACGGGACGGGACGGGGCTGAACGGGAGGCGGCAGGAGGAGGCAGGGGCTGCCCGTGCTCTGCCAGCGCCTCCCCGCCTGCTCCCTTACTGCGGGGCGCGGGATGGGGCGGAGCGAGAGGCAGCCCCTGAGCCGCTCCCCCGGGGAGTGGGGGAAACGAAGGGTCTCCGGGCCGGCGGTGTTCCCCCAGGGATGTGCCCTGACTCCCAGCTCCCCGGACACGCCTAGAGGTAACACCCCTCCCCGGTCACGGCACGGCTTAGCAGGAGCTTTCTGATCCTCCCCTTCCTCGGTAAGTGTGGGGCTTCATATTGATGACAGACCGTGAAGAAACCTCAGAGCATCCAACGCTCGTAAGCCTGTCATGTCATATACGAGCAGTGAAGTTAAGGTTTCCCATCTTTCTTCTCATGCAGGGATATCTCTACACAAAGTACATATACCCTGCTTCTATCAGCAAGCCCTTGAAAAGGCAACCTGCGTAGCTGTGCTGCAGGAATCACAACTCCTCTTACCTTGTTCAGCGCTCTGAGGCTGCTGAAAACTGTGAAGTCCAAGCCACCCAGCTGCAATGCTCAGTCACTGCCCTCAGCTCCTTGTGAAATGGGTGCTCCTGCTCATACAGGGCAGACAATGAACCTCCTGTCTTTGTGAAGGTATTTGGCATAGGCTTTGAATAACACAGAAGCTGGGGGAAACACTGGGAAGAGAGAAGGAAGCCTAAGAATCATGTCATCCTTATCAGGAGTTGCACTCCTTAATGGCATTGCTATCCGAAGTTCCATACTCATTTACATTTCCAACCCACCACGTGCTCACACATCAGGTGTTCAGTTCTGTCAATACGATTTGCAGGATTCAGGCACATAGATATGGTTAGATACCTATAATATTTTAATAGTGATTCATGTGAGTAGCAAAGTATTTCATAACTTTATGAGGGCTTTGCTGCCTGGCACACAGCACTAGCGAGAGAGATCCCTGGTGCTGTTTCAGGAAGCACCAGTCGCAAACTATTGATTTTTGTCTGCAAGAGCGTATCACCACCCTTGGTTTTGTGCCACTGTGGCTTTAGCACACCACAGAGACGTATCTGCCAGAGACAATTTTTGTGTCCTCCATACTTGGCTTTCACAAATGTAGCATACTGCCAATTCAAATATATCAGATTTGGCTTTTTTAACCGTAAGTGTTTTCAATTTCTAGAGCAACTGAAAAATATTCTTCTTTTCCACTTGTGGAAAATTAATTGTCTTACTGCCCGTGTCCATCATATTGCTTCCTGCAATACTTTGTACTTCATTTAACTGTGAGAAGTCTGAATACAAAGAAGCAATGCCATCTTCAGATGTCCCATTAAACAAAATGCCATGCTATCAGGATATTCACTGGTCTTTTCAACATATTGCATGAAAATCAAAAGTATATCCTGAAGTATATATTTTTTTACAAATGGTGATCTCAAAGTACCTGAAGTAAGTAGCTTTTAAGTCCAGAGCAAGCAAGCTCTTACAAAGGCTTGCCATTGGTTTTCTTGTTGAGTGTAAAATCAGAATCAAAGCATCAGAGAATGGATTCTTTGTCCTCTTTTTTGTTAGAGGAATTAAATCAAATTGAATAAAAGCTGAGCAAATCATGTTCCTGGGAGAAAAGAACTGCTTGGATACTTTGAGGGAAGTCCATCATAAAGTACAATATTAAGAGAAGCTGATGAAGATTACAATTATGAAGATTAGAAAATCATCTCAGTCTATTTTAAGAGTAATCAAATTATCTCCAAGCTGGACATTCAGTCAGCAACCTCCTCCTGCTCCTGTTTATTTCCAGCAAGCCATTAAAGATTTTCTCATCTTCAACAAGAACCTTACTGTCTTGCACAGTATTTGGGGAAATTAATTTACTTCAGTTATCCTGTACATTCCTACAATCTCGACTCATTGTTGATTTTAATGACAAGGCATCTTTTGTTATGAATACTTCAAATGCAAAAGAAATAGCCTTTAGTGTGTTGGGACACACTTCTTGCACAGAGCCCTGCCTCTGCATGTGTGGGGATTGTGAGCAGCACCACCGCGTTTTGAGACTTGAACTCTTCTTCTGCACCTCTGTCCCTGGTTTCCACAATAGGAAGGGGTTTCTCAGAAGCATAAGCCTAGAATAAGGATAAGCAGAACATAAACCAGGTGATCCAAATACATCTGATAAATCTTTACAAACAAACAACAAAATTCACAGAGTATATTATGAACATGTAGAAAATAAGGCTCAGTAAACTAAGATTTTGAGATCTTGTGTCTACTAGAATCTGCTCCAATTTTTCTTTGTCTCTGCTTGTGCAGAGTAATACCTGACAATTTTTTTCTGGAGCAGTTCTGAAGGTAGTTCAGGTAAGGAACCCAGCTTCATGAGATCCTTTGCAATCTCACTAGAGAAGAGAGCTGTTTGGTAGGTTGCACAGCACACAAGTAAGCCCTTGCTCACAAGAGATGTCCTTTCACAAACAGGGACTGTCAGTGAATTTGTTGGGAAGTATCACATGAGAAAACACAGCTTATGTGAGCAAGAACCTAATACTTTAGTAAAATAATGGCACGTTCTTGGATCTGGTTTCCTAAAACTTAAAAACTTCACACACATTCAGAAAATCAGCCCATCAGATAGCAAAAAAAGAGAAAAAAATCTTCCTGTTTCCTCCCTCATGAAATGATGTACATTTTGCTTAATGTGTATCTAGATTGAAAAAGATTTTGTTGACCTCCTGTGTGATTTTTTTTGTCCTTTTCTTAAGCATTTATGCCAAAACAAACTTTTTTTTGTTCAGTGTGTTTTCTAGAAATGAAGGCTAAAATGCCACCTTTGAGATTTGGCTGACAAATCCCTAAATATACCTGAAGATGTGTGCAGATTTTAGGGAAAATTTTTATGACAAATTTGGTCTTTCACTCAAAAGTGTTAGAAAAAAAATGTTTCTAATGGCATTCCCAACACAGGTACTCAGCAACTTAAGTCGCATCAAAAATCTAAGTAAACAAGAATTTTATGTAGGGACCCTGGAGCTACATAAAGCCAGAGTGAATTATGTATGTGAGGAAGCAGACAGGAGCAGGTGTGTGCTTGGGGATGATAACAACAGCATGGCCTGTCACTAGCAGATGTAAAACTGAATGTTTCCAGTGCTATCCCAGTCTGACGGCACTGTGCAGGCTGTGGTGTGACCACACACAGGCATGAGTCTAGCCTGGTTTATGCAAGGTTTTAGGACCACAGGAAGGAAGAGCAGAGTGAGGAGAATGGAGGAATGAGATTTTTTTCCTTGAATGCAACCCTCCACATTTCTAAACTCTTTATCTCTTTGGTTTTTAATCTATTTTAAGCCAAATCCAAAACCAGCAGAACACACAGCAAAGCACTTACGACTTTGTTGAGCTCTTGCCCACCCTATCTAATGTAGAATTTCATTCTGTAAAAAGTTCAGTATCAATAATTCATGGAATGATACTTCATCTTCCCTTCATGTCATCTTTTGTTGTAATTACAGGTTCCTGAAACACAGACAAGATCTTATTAGCTGGCAGCTCTCAGCAATGAGCATTTTTAAGACAGTGGCCCTCTGTGGAAAACACTCTTCTCCAGATAGCTGCTCTTTTGTCCTCCCAGCAAAACCTCTCATTTTTCCTTCAGCCTTAATAAGGTGTGCTTTCCTTGCCTCTTCCTGTCTCCAAGGAGTAGACATGGTTATTTGATAGATGTCAAGCAATTGATGAATAAATGTAGGCAATTGAAAATGTTTCTGAATCTGTATTACTTTGATGTAAACTGATCACATTACATTAGTTAGGCATTTGCACTGCTGTGACTACAGATCATTTATTGTGTTTGTGCTTTCTGTTTTAAAAGCTGTTCACTTAACAATGGATTTAAAATTTCAAGTCAAGGATGCTTGCACAAGTAGTAAACTATAGTAGAGCCTTTTCCAAGTCCATGGCAGGTTAAGTGCAATTTTTTGTACCTTTTGGTTTCTCTTGAAATGTTCTAGTTACAAACATCTTACTTGTGAGTTCCCCCGACTTGACAGGATTGCAAAAAAACCCAAAACTTAAAAATGTCTGCTTTGGTACTTCAGACCCTCTCCTTGCAAAGAAGTACTAAGCCAAAAAGTGGAGGGAAGGTGAATGTTTGGTGCCTTACAACATTTTCAGGAGAAGGCAAATTGCCGTTTCAAGGCGAAAACATGAGTCCTCATCAGTAGCCAATGTGTAGAGGTCATACCAGTTTCTTCCAATCTTGATCTTTGTATGTTTACCCACTGAGTATCCTAGGGGCTAGGGCAATGCTGGAAGTGCGACAGCTTCTTTGACATCCAGTTCCAATGAATAAGTCAAGAGGAGCACTCTGGGGAATGCAGAGGTATAGCTACCTTAAGACCTCCTAAGCAAATTACACTTGGCAGGGCAGTCACCCACAGCTAGTAGGAATTCAGGTGTCAAGCCTCACAGGGCACCCAGGTGACACTGCCATGGGCACCAACAGATTACTTTCCCAGTGAAAACCTTTTTTAGGCTTTGTGTAAAGTTCGGGGCACATCAAAGCCTGAGGCATCCTAGTCGTGTTTGTTTCTGGGTCATCAGCTGCTGTTTACATGCTATCAGTCCTGGACAAGTTAGTGGATAAATGACAGATACTACTTTGTCCCTTTAGTAAATCATTGACGAACATGGATCAGCATTTTGAGATGTTAGGGACGTGGTTTTGTGGTGGAGTTGGCAGTATTCGGTTTACAGTTGGACTTGATGACCTTAAAGGTTTTTTTCAACCTAAAAGATTCTATGGTTCTATGATTCTCCACTATGTTGACTACTTGAAGAAACTTCCTAATGGACAATATTAAAATCCATCCACCTTGTTCTTTTGCGTCTTAATGGTTTTCCCATTTGTTCTTGGCTTTCTGTACTTTTTTATGGAGTTGCTCATGGACTTAAAGTTCAAAAAGAAGAAAACAAGTCTTGGTCATATAATGGCTGATGCTTTGTGAAGAAGCATGTACTCCCTTTGGTCAGTCCTCATGACTTGTCAGTCAAACATCAATTTCTGGTATCTGTGTCCAGCAAAAGTTTTGTATTTTTAGGTAATGTTACTGTTGCAAATTTAGAAGCCACCTCAGGTTTACTTCAACATCAGCTCTAGCCTGCCTATAGTCTCATCAAGCTCTTAAGTTTTAAATAGAACCTTATGTTTAAATGTGTTAAGGAGCAACACCTTCAGCAGTATAAATTGAGGAGACTCTGGTGGTTAAATCAGTTTATTCCAGCTGAGGATCAGGTGTCAAATGTAACTAAGAATTCAAACATACTAAGTTCAGGAAGATTAAGATTTACCTATTTTTAGTTTTGGAACTTGAAAAAGATAGTAAATTTAGAACAAATCCCTTGTGAAAGTGCAGAAAATTCAATGCAGAATACCTTTGCTATGTTTTTTTAAAAGTATAATTATAGATTTCCATAACACAGGTATAATACATATCACAATTCTCTATGGAAGTGGTATTCATAATTATAAGAGTTAAAACTCATAAATATTGGGGAGGGGAAAGGGTTGTTTTATTTTTTAGTAACAGTTTTAGCCCTGTTAATTATGAGACACTTCACTAGGAGATGTGATAGTGCTAGCTTTTTAGCTCTGCTGTAATATTATTTTGTCATTTGGGTATTTTATCACACAGTCATAGCCCTATGTTCTTTAGCCAAGTTCTTTCTTTTCAATTAGAGGACTGATTTTCTGCCAACAGGGCATAAGACAGAGAACCTGAACAGACTGAGCTGTAGCCAGTAACTCAAATTTTGCACCTGGCAAGGTAAGTAGTCTCTGTCTCACATGTATAGAGATGACGCCTATAGAACCTGCTTATGCCCTGTCACCCTTACCCTGAGCCAAAGGTCCAAAGTCCCTTCCTTTGAGGACCTCGACTCTCTCCAAGTGAGGATGAAGTCAATCTCCCAGATCAGTTTTAATAAGTAGGGTAAGTTCCTAGAGAGCCATCAGGACCCTGAAATTTATGCTCTGCAATGGCTTCTCTTTTCCTTGGACAAGGCTTTTGGGACAGAGAAGAAATCACCCATGCAGTTCTGCCGATCAGAATGTCTCATGTGAATGCGACATCAAGAATCTTATGCTCCTGTGCTTAACACAGAGCAGTTTTGTGGTTCTTGTGCATCACTAATGAGCTTTGTTCCCCTTCAACAGATCTGTTTACTTAGGCTTAAAGGATAGCTAAAATTTGGCCCAATTTCTTATACTGAGGTTTTTTTCTATCTTTGTTAATGAACATATGCAAATATTCTACTTACAAGAATAGGAGTCAATTATATTCTGTGGGGAAAAAATAGCAAACTCTGGATAATCTGTTGGTTTTCCTACCCATGGTAGCATAAGGGATACATCATGCATTGTTCTCACACTCCTATGATATGTATGTTCTCAGACCCACATCACCTCACACAGTAGAATTATATACAATAATATATAAGCAATGCCCAGGAAAAAAATGGACACAATATGATTTTGTTTGAATATGCCTTTATATTCCAAGAACTTCATTGCCTATCAAGTTCAGATTCTTCATGGACTGAGATGGTCATTTTCATTATCTGCACCAGTTTCAGACAGGAGTTAAGTGGAATTAGAAAGCCTGCAAACCCAAAGCACCTGAAGGCAGGCTCACCGGCTTCTCTCTGGCTGAGCAGATGGAAAATAGATAAACAATTAACTTCAGACTGAGTCATAAAATCAACATAATACAGAGGATAAGCAGGGAAAGGAAATGACAGATGAAGAAAATATACAGTTACAATCTGTACATGCTGTCTTAAAGCAATAAAACTTCAGGAGACCAAAATTCCAAGACAGGGAGGAGAAGGATAACAAATTTTAAAGCGTGATGTACAGATACTGACATAGAGATGTTTAAGTTCAGGTTTTGAAGGCTGTAAGATGTTTGGACTATAGTGACAATGGCATGCTGGTGCTTATACTGGGCTGGAAATTGGTCTTAGATGGTAGTTGTAGTTCTTGCATTGACTTTCTTGACCTATCATTCTCTGTGGCTAAAAGAATTAATTTTCTGGGAAAAATGGGAAAGAGCAATAAAAAAGCAAATTCACTGAAACGCTCACATAATGATTTGTGGGATTATTCTGCACTACTGATTGCAGTGCAATGTTAATTTCTGTCTGATTCCCAGGTCACAAGCCCAGGCATCAGTTTGAAGGTCCACATGAAGGAAGTTAATAAATCTTGCATGGTCACTTACAGTTAAGTACCTTAAATTGTCTTATACCACCATGTTTGATATGAAATTTGGTATCATTGGAGGCTTCAGCAAGAGAACCATAGAGTGAAAAGAAAGATTCGAGGTAGCAGCTCCTTAGAAGGATGAATGCATACAGTTAGGATCACGCTGGGTAAACTGTTCCTATTATTGAATAAGCTTTTTCAGGTCCAGTTTTGTAAATTCTCCATTCTATTTTTAAAAGGTTTATGGGATACATAAGTATTTGGTTCAGTCTTCCTCCGAAGTTCATAGGATTTGTTTCTAAACTAATTTTTGCTATTTCTCTTATTATCGCTATTCATTTCTAAGAGCATCTTCCAAAATAAAGAGTAGCTCAAAGTACATTCTTTATACACTTGTTTCAGTAAAATAGGCCTGTATTTTAAAAAATAAAATAGAAGGAAGAAACAGCCCATATGGTTATGCTACAGTTTAGCAAGGGAAAGATTAATGAAAATGTTTTATAGGCTGCTTTATCAAAGTTAATGCTGATGATTTAAATGCACTTACTTGAACAAGAAAAAAGGAAATTAACAGTGTATAATCATAAGAATTTCTCTGCAGAATATTTATGATTTATATCTTTTGGGGGGGAAATGAGAGGCATAGATTAATTATGATCTTACGATATAAGAAGCTAACCTTTAGTTACATTGTTTTAAAATTCTAGTTTTTCACAAATCTCATCAGAACAATGACTATGCAAACTTCAGGACTTCTCAGTCTAGTAAATGTGGAAACTTTAGGTAATGCAAAAGATAGACGATATTTTAGAAAACTAATAATATGCTGGAATGATCCCAGTATTTCAGCATCAATTGGAAGAGTACTTGCTACAGCCTTCCTATTGTTTTCATGATTTAAAATCAGGCATATCTTAAATGACTGCTCTTCTTCTTTTATAATGAAATGAATGCATAAAGGTAAACATTGAAGATATACTGACTTGCTGTAACTCTGGAAAATACAGACTGACCATTCAGTTCTTCCACTATTTAGAGCATATTTCTCTGCACAGGCACTCAACAGAGTCCAAACATATGGCTTTAAACTGCAACAGAGTAGATTTAGATTAGATATGAGCAAGAAATTCTTCACTATGAGGGTGGTGAGGCGCTGGCACAGGTTGCCCGGAAAAGCTGTGGCTGCCCCATCCCTGGCAGTGTTCAAAGCCAGGTTGGATGGGGCTTTGAGCAACCTGGTGTAGTGGAAAAAGTCCCTGCTCATATCAGGAACTAGAAGACCCAAAGATCAAGTAAAGAGAAGTTTTAGAGTTACTGTCTTACTATGTGCTGGTATTGAATCTTGCTGACAAAAAAACAATGTTCAAAAACCTTAGGCTGATGCTTTCAAAAGAGGACTTTGTCCTGTGTGTCTGCATTTTGAGTTACAAGGCAGGAAAATGGCTGTATGTCTGTAGGGTTGATGCATTTGCTTTCAATATCACCTCTAGAAAGTGCTGACATTTCTAAATGTGTATCTGCTTGTCCATTGCTATTTTTAAAAGCAAGTAGAAATGAATGTAGTATTTGCATAAGTACTTGTAGATGTTTGGATTGAGATCATAGAATCACAGAACGGTTTTGGTTGGAAGGGACCTTACAGATCACCTATTTCCAACCCCCTGCCATAGGCAGGGACACTTGTCACTAGACCAGGTTGCTCAAAGCCTTGAACACTGCCAGGGATGGGGCATCTCCAAATGAATGTTCTGGATAACCCAAAATTTGTGCCACTTCTTTTAATTCTCCATGTATAGCTGTGCCTAAACTGTTCTGGCTTAGGGGAGGTTTGTCTGTAACTTAAAGACTTCTGTCTGTGGCTTTTAAAGGCAGTGGTTTCCTTTGTTCCAGCAATTCATTTTAGGTAACCTTCAGATTTGTATGAAACAATGTGACTCAGGACATTGGAAATAATCACTGTGATGAAATACTAGGCGATAGGAATGCAGCCTGCTGCCCTGCAGATGAATTCTGCCAACGAAGTAACAAATCCCAACCAGTTCAAATATCTTGCAATCTTAAATATCCTGCCAAGAATCAAGAATAGGGGAGATGTGGGTAGTGTGACCACATGGCCCTAAAATGCAGCATTGCCACTGCAATGAGTTTGCAAGGCTTGTCAGGACTGAGGCTTGGCAAGCTTGCCCTCTTTAAACCCTTCTTGACCTCCCCTCAACTTTGTTTTACATGGTTTAGCTGTAACACCAGTTTTTCTAAGTGACTAAGTGTCTACAAGTAACTGGTTTTGCTCTTCCTTTGTGCAGTATTACCGTGTCTTTATGTCACTAACATGATGGTGCAATTTTAGCTGTACTATTATTAATGTTGATTGGTTTTCTGCCTAGCCTTATTTTTTTTCTTTTTCTGGAGTAATTATATGTGCTTTAGTAATGATTCTTGGATTACTGCTGAGATTCAGTTATACTAATTATAAATTCTTGGATTTTTATATATATGAGATGTGTTTCCCCTTTGCCCATATCAAGATCTTGAGGGTAACAATAGACAGAGATATACACCATAAGAGGTAGTTTCTAAATGCTTTCTGGGGTAAACCTTCAAAGGGTCACCAAAAAGGAACATACCTTACATATGTGGGTTTTTATTCATAGAATCATAGAATAGTTAAGGTTGGAAAGGACCTTAAGATCATTTCATTGCAACCCCCCTGCCATGGGCAGGGACGCCTCACCCTATACCATATTGCTCAAGGCTCTGTCGAACCTGGCCTTTCTGTCAAATTATTGCAGGTGGATATGAAA